CGGTCTCCTGATAACAAAACTATGGGGAGATTAAAACAATTTATCCTTCACTTACTCCAGATAGTAAACAGCCCTGGCCCCTCAGTCTCCTGATAGCAAAACTGTGGGGAGATTAAAACAATTTATCCTTCACTTACTCCAGATAGTAAACAGCCCTGGCCCCTCAGTCTCCTGATAGCAAAACTGTGGGGAGATTAAAACAATTTATCCTTCACTTACTCTGGATAGTAAACAGTCCTGGGCCTCTCGGTCTCCTGATAGCAAAACTGTGGGGAGATTAAAACAATTTATCCTTCACTTACTCCAGATAGTAAACAGCCCTGGCCCCTCAGTCTCCTGATAGCAAAACTGTGGGGAGATTAAAACAATTTATCCTTCACTTACTCTGGCTAGAAGCAGAAGGGCAGAGAGTAATGGAGAAGTAGACTTAGAAGGTACCATTAATCTCCAAAGCGTTATTCCTTAATTTGATGTACTATGTAAAAATAAAATGGAATTAGAGAACTTCTGTTCTCTAACATTGCCTTGGATATCGGGTACCTTCAGATAATCAAGCTCTACCACATTCTCACAATTCCTGAAAAAGCAGAGAGTGGAAAATGCATTGAACTCTTGTTCTCCTCCATCTTCTGGAGAACCACCTGAAGCCCACCACCAGAGACTTCACCTCTTCCTCCTGTTTCACGGAGCTCCCCTTCCACCGAAACTCCTCAGCCAAGAGCACAGCCCCAGTGCAAGTCTCAGGGCCGTGACCCCTGACCCAGCTCTGCATCTCCGGAGGCAGGACAGTTAGGAACTGCTCAAGGACCAGCAGCTCCAGGATCTCCTCCTTCGAGCACTTCTCGGCCTTCAACCACTGCCAGCAAAGTCCCTGGAGATGCTTATAAAGAGCCCTGGGCCCCTCGGTCTCCTGGTAGCAAAACTCCCGGAAATCCCGGCGCTGTTTCTCCCTGGCCAGGGCCTCCCTTCGCAAGATGGCCGCCTTCACCTTCCCATAGTCTCTTCTTTCTTGGCCACTGAGGCTGTTGAATGCCTCCGCGGCTTCTTGTCGGAGTCCTGGCGCAAGAAGAGTCGCCCACTGGTCCTGGGGCCACTTGCAGGCGGATGCAACTTGCTCAAAGGAAGTTAAGAAGGCCTTTGTGTTGGCCCATGGCATAGGTTCCTCTACTGTCTCAGCATGGGCTCTCTCTGAGCGAGGACCCTGCAGGCTGCCGAGGAACTCCTGCCACTGAGCTTCCCAGCAATCTTGCAGTCCCTCTTCAGGTTTACATTTCACCTGTTGGCGAGGAACCCTGCGAGAAGGGGCTTTCCTTGCCTCCATGTCTGCCCAGAGTTGAACCAGCGAAGTATACTGCTTCGGCATCTTCGGCTCTGGGTGCTCCATGGACTCTTCCTCCATGGACATGTTCACCTGCACACTCAGGGTCTCCATCCCTTAAACCTTCCTTACTACCGGTCTGTAAATCTTTTGCTAAAACCAGCTTTCTGATAAGCAGCAAGGTGGACTCTCCTGCAGTGAAAAAAAAAATAGATATGCGAAAGAATATTTAGCAAATAATTCTGCCCCAAAGCTAGCTAGCTAGCTATACATACATACATACATACATACATACATACATACATACATACATANAAATTTACCTCTTCAAAATCTTGGTGCGTCTTATACTCTGGTGCATCTTATACTCCGAAAAATACAGTATATGATCTATATTTGATGCAGGAAGTGTAAGATCCAGTAAGAAAATAAGCAATTGGTGAAAGGATCCTCAATTCCAGTCCTGATTCATATCAACTCTGAAAGGCCATAGAGGCAAAGATATTCTAACTAAACCTTTTTCCTCGCCTTCAATTATGGACTGTCCTGGTCATAGTAAATTGTAAATTGTACATTTAATGAATTTATATGCCGCCCAATCCCGAAGGATTCCGGGCGTCTTACAAAATACAGAATTAAAAAGATAAAACGTTAAAAATAGGAATAGTACAGGCGCCCTTGACTTACAACCACAATTGAGCTCAACATTTCTGTTGCTAAGCAAGACAATGAAATGAGTTTGGTCCCATATTACATCTTTTTTGCCACAAAAAAGATGTAAGATGTAATATTCATTTGTTAAATGAATCACTGCTGTTGTTAAGTTAATACGGTTGTTAAAATGAAACTGGCTTCCCCATCGACTCTGCTTGTCAGAAGGTCGCAAAAAGTGTGACCCCGGGACATTGCAGCCGTCATAAATATGTAGTCACCAAGAGTTCCAATTTTGATCACGTGACCACGGGGGTGTTGCCAATTGGTGCGAAAAACAGTCCTAAATCATTTTTTTCAGTGCTGTTGTACCTTCGAATGGTCCCTAAATGTACCGTTGTAAGCCGAGGACTACCTGTCTATGATCTCTCTCACAGCTTTGCTTTCTGATGGGCATCAAGATCAAATGTTCCCTCCAAATGATTCTGATCAGCTGAGGGTTTGTATGGATTCACTCCGGTATGAATGCGTTCATGTGTCATCAGGCCGGATTTCTGACAAAAGGTCTTCCCACAGCGTGCGCACTGATATGGTTTCACTCCGGTATGAATTCGCTCATGGGTGATGAGGTTTGACCCGTCGGTGAAGCTCTTCAGGCACACAGAGCACTGATACGGTTTCACCCCGGTGTGGATCCTTTCGTGAACCCTCAGGACGGCCGCGGTGCGGAAATTCTTCCCACAGCTGGAACATCTGTAGGGCTTCTCTCCCAAGTGGATTTTTTCGTGGACGCTCAGGGTTCCCTTCTGACGGAAAGTCTTCCCACATGTCAAGCATTTAAAAGGCTTCTCGTCCATGTGGATTTTTTCATGGATGGTGAGAGTCCCCTTTTGCCGGAAGCTCTTCCCACAGTACGTGCATCGGTACGGCTTCTCTCCGGTATGAATCCTCTTGTGGGTGATGAGGTTGGAGCTGCTGGTAAAGGTTTTCTGGCAGATGGAACACTGAAAGGGAACCTCACCAGTATGAATACCTTTGTGGGCCTTTAGTTGGGCAGATTTACGAAAAGGGATGCCGCATTCCGTACACGTATATGCCTTCTCCCCGGTGTGAATTCTTTCATGTGCCCGAAAATTGGAGCTCCACCGGAAACGTTTGCCACAGTGGCACTCGTGGATTTTATGGCTGGTTTTGGCTTCTTCTGGATCGGAATCACTTTTACCAACAGAAACAACTTCGTCCAAGCTTCCTTTGGAGGAATCCAATTCTGCTTCTGGATCCTCCTGGTTCTTAGGCCTCACTTCCTCCTTGCAACGCTGGGAGGGTATGATGTCTCTTTTTAGTATCTCATTTTCTGGTGCCTCAGAAATGCTCTGAGGAAGATGGTTGTCTTGGTTCGTCTGTCTGTCGTCATCGTCATCTTGGGGAAGGAAGAGGGTCATAAGTCTTTAGGTAAAGCTCAGGTGACATTCTAAATCAAAATTCTGGAGGATTCAGAATTTTTCAAGAGTTCACAAACACTTGCTTTTATCTCTGTAATAGTTGCAATTCCTTACTACTGGATTTTATGTAGTATTCCTTAATCTTGTTTAAACATAAGGCTCTTTGAATGTTTAATTACAGAGCATGCATGCTTTTAGGTATCAAATAGTTTGTGGCTATGCGGGTTCTACTACAAATTTCATATTGGAATTTATGTGACACAATCACTCTCTTTTAAAGAGAAAAAAAAATCTGCACATTCCTGACCTAATAGGTCATAGAGAAGGTAAACTTCAACAGCTTCTCCACTTCACAATATATTTCTGGGTGTGAGGAATATTTTGGGAAGGACAATTAATGACCGCCAGACCAACTGTTTTAGTTAAGAACAAGTCCATCTAATTATATAAATATACCATAAATCTAAATTTATGAGAGCCGAGGTGGCGCAGTGGTTAGAGTGCAGTACTTCAGCTGACTGTTAGCTGCAGTTCAGCGGTTCAAATCTCACCGGCTCAGGGTTGACTCAGCCTTCCATCCTTCCGAGGTGGGTAAAATGAGGACCCAGATTGTTGTTGGGGGCAATATGCTGACTCTGTAAACCGCTTAGAGAGGGCTGAAAGCCCTATGAAGCGGTATATAAGTCTAACTGCTATTGCTATTGCTATATGAAAATGTAAAATGGAATAATTTCACTCAGATTTGCCACCAAGATGAGCAGGAAGTTGTAGGTCAAAAAAAGGGGCAGAAATGCAAACTCTCATCCTATTTACAGAGCATACTTGTCTTCCTACTTGTGCAGGATTCAAACCAGTTCTCTCACACCCGAAGGAGAATTATACCGCTAGGATCCATGCTAGAACAGGCAACTCTTGTTTAGATGTTAAAAGATCAAGGGAGAAGTGCTCAACACCTTTGGGTGATCAAATGCAGCTCATGCTTACCGAATGAACTCATTTCTTCCTCAATGTCCAGCTTCATCTCCTTGGGCAGCTGCCATTCCCATGAACCTAGTGGTAGAAATTGGCTTCCCTGGAAAGGCTCCTCAACTGCCAGCATCTCCAAAGGACCCGGACTCTGGAATGACACACAAAAAATTATTCAGTGGAGCAAAATTCATCAGCTATGATAGAAGAATAGGTAATCCACACATCTCAGGCAGTGGTGGAATCTAATTTCCCCACCCCACCAGTTCTGTGGGAGTGGTTTGGGGGGGGCGTCATGTGACTGGGTGGGCATGGCCAACTTTTTTTCCACTTTCAGCTATTTTTTAAAGCTTTTTAAAGCATTTTTTTCTCCTACTGATTCGGGCGAACCGGCAGGGGAAAAATGCTTTAAAAAGCTAAAAAATTGCTTCCGATGATGATGTGCGTCTCACAGCTGACCCACGTGATCCTCGAAAGCTTGTTTTGTTACTACTGGTTCTCAGAAGCAAGGACAATCGTCCCTACCGGTTCTCAGCCTTCTCCCATCTTTCTCTCAATGTGGAGGGAGATTAAAACAATTTCTCCTTCACTTACTCTGGATAGCAAACAGCCCTGGGCCTCTCGGTCTCCTGATAACAAAACTGTGGGGAAAGAGTGATAGAGGGGGAGGGGAAGTAGGAGAGGGGAATGCTGGAGGGGAGAAAGGAATGTTGGAGGGGGGTGAAAGAAAGGGTGTATGGAGGGTTGAAGTGGTATATTGGTTTTGTATTTTGGGGAGTATTTTTGACAAGGAAGGCTGCGTTTATTGCTCAATGTTATATG